AGATGATTCATTTTTTGCATTTCCTATGATCAGAAATCCTCCTAACCATCAAAATGAAATTGTTGTTAACCATGTTCCATTACCTTATAAATTTTTAAAAGATCTTAAACAAGCAGTTCAAAGTTATGGTCCACAGTCTCCATTTGTTCAGGGCATGATTGAATATTTTGCTGGTACTAATCTTATTCCTCATGACTGGGAAACTTTAGGCCGAACTGTGTTGGAAGGTCCTCAGTGGATGCTCTTAAGAAGTTGTTGGTGGGAAGAAGTGAGAATTCAAGCTTAAATGAATGCACAAAGAAACCCTCCTGGACCTACAAGAGATGAGCTTCGAGGTACTGGTCCCTTTGAGGATATTCCTCGACAGGCAGTAATGCAAGATTTAGCCTTAACACAAGTAAAAATGATTTTTTTAAAGGCTTGGAATCACATAGAGGCATCTGCTAGTGCTTCTCCTTCATATGTTAAAACAACACAAGGATCTTATGAACCCTATACGGATTTTTTGTCTCGCCTAAAAGATGCTGTTACTCGAGGGCTTGGTGAGGGCCACACCCCTAATGTAGTTCTTCAGTCTTTAGCTTTTGAAAATGTGAATGCTGAATGTCAAAAAATTCTTCGTCCATTGAAAAGCAAAGGAGCTACAATTGATGGATATATTAGAGCTTGTTCTGGTGTAGAAACTCTTGCCTATAATGCACAGCTTTTTGCAGGAGCAATACGACAAGTTAAAAGTAATGTAACTTGTTATAAATGTAAAAGAAAAGGGCATCTGCAAAAAGATTGTCAGTTCAGAATTCCTCAACCTCCTGGCATTTGTTGAAAATGTGGAAAAGGATATCATTGGACAAATGAATGTTGTTCTAATATAACTAAAGATGGTGTTCCTCTGTCATCTCCAACAAATCAGTCGGGAAACTTGTTTCAGGGCCGACGGCCTTGGGGCCCTGTAAACAATACCAAGCCGACTCAGCAGTATCCAGTCAGCAATGGTCTTTTCCATCATCAGCAGGAGAGTCCCAAGCAGGATTAAAAGTATCAGATTTAAAGGCAGCTACAAAAGGTAGTGCTGCTGCTGATTTGTTTGTTACTCAGCCTTATACTTTATCCCCATCATGAGGAGTGTATAAATTGAAAACTGGTGTTTTTGGTCCTTTATCTCCAGGAACAGTGGGAATGATTATTGGACGTGGGAGTCTTACTAGTCAATATTTCCAAGTTCATATTGGAATTATAGATCCAGATTTTACTGATGAAATTATTGTTCTTGCTTCTGTAAAACAGGTCATGTGCCTCCAAGCTGGTCAAAGAATTGCTCAACTTTTACTTCTTCCTTATCATTCTTTTCCTGCCCTCAATAAAGCTCAAATCGGAGGATTTGGAAGAACAGGAAAATATTTATTTTGGGAAACTTTAA